GGGGTCCAGGGCAGAGAGGGAGCCATGCCCCTTTGGGGGAAGTTTCAGGAGGTGGTCAAGGGCGAGGCTGGGAGGAAGAGAGAGAGGGAGGAAACTGCTCCCGGGGCAAGGAAGTGGTGGTGACCCCCCCCCCAGAGGGACTGAGTGGCAGGCAGGCTGTCAGTAGCATACGGGCATGATTCAGATCCTAAATAATCAGCGACGCTCCCTCATCACGAGTGTGCCCTGCTAAGGCCATAGCCATTCAGTCCCGTGCTCAACTGACTGTGGCATCAGGGCGCGAAGATGGCCTTAGTGTCCCCCTTCCGCAGATGAAGGTGTTGAGACCCACGAGGCCAGAGCTAAGAAGCCTCAGAGTGCGCAGTGGAGACCCCGCCCTCTGACCCCAAGTGCGGACCCTTTTCGAGTCCCGCCTAATCCTCTATCATTTCTAAGGGTCCCCGATGAGCGATCGATACAGGGTCCTTGTAGGACAGCGAGCTGGCCAACCAGCAGGGACTTCTTTCCTACCAGAAGGGGCACTTATTGGAAGTTTTGTTTGTTTCTTTTGTTGTTGTTTTTAACGAATAGAGCTGGAGGGTGCTCCCCAGGGTCCCCTCCTACCGAGCAGCCTGGCGAAGGCCGCGTGGTGCTCGGGCAGCACGGGGCACGCCCGCTGCCTCTTCAGCTTCATCTTGAGCCCGCACAGCGTCTCCACGGCCCAGGCGTCCTGAGCCCCAGGGGCTGCCTCCTCCTCGGGCCCCGCATCTGCTGACCGCTCCCTCTTCCTCTTCGGGCCTGGAGGCCGAGGCTGGCGGCTGGACTCTACCCAGGGGGCTGAGTAAGGAAACCGGGCCTCAACCTAACGCCTCTGCTTAGGAATTCAGCTATCGGTCGCCCAAGTCCCCACCCCCTCCTCCCCCCCAGAGGAACAGCCCCCTCCATTCTCCAGTGCCCGTCTGCCACCCGTTCATCTGGCCGCTGTTCTGGTCTCTGTCCTCAACAGTCTTCTCAGGTGGCTTCCCTTCCTTGGGGACATCCCTGTCCCCACCCCTGTGTGCTCCTCCAGTCCCTGGCTTTCTAATCCCTCCTTTCTGTCCCACACCCCGACTCAGGTCCCCCTTCCTCCTTAGGGGCCGAGGCTCTCCAGCCCCTTCTCCCTCCAGTCTCCTCACCTGGTGGTCCTGGGGCTGCTTCATCCGCTCTCACCTCCAGGGGGTCCCCCGAGGAGTTAGGCTGAGGGCTCCGGTTCCCAGACGGGAAACTCGGTTCACAACTGGCCATGATTTCTCCCCAATTCTCCCCTTTGAGGACTCCTAGACCCCGATCTGCCCAAACCCCTCTTCTCGATTCGGGGTGAACACAGACCCTTACCCCCGCTCCAAGCGGAGCAGACACTGCGAGTGGAGAAAGGCTCCGAGAGGATGCTGTTGGCACCTGCGCTGCCAGGCACCGCGGAGGCCGGGCCTCCAATCAGGGAGGTCGGAAGCCTCTGATGTCATCAGTCATTCCGACCTGGCAACTAGCTTCCCAGTTTCAAGGTTTCCACAATCACTTTTTAAAAACACAGAGCCTGGCCAGTGTGGCTCAGCGGTTGAGCGTCGACACATGAACCAGGAGGTCGCAGTTCGATTCCCGGTCAGGGCACATGCCCGGGTTGCGGGCTCCATCCCCAGCGGGGGGCTGCAGGAGGCAGCCAGTCAGTGACTCTCATCACTAATGTTTCTCTCTCTCTCCCTCTCCTTTCCTCTCTCTGGAAAAAAAAAAAAGGAAACGCAGAAATGCTGAAATCTTACAAGAGTGGGGCGGAATTGAGAGGAGAGAGAGGCAGAAAGAGAGAGAAAACTCATGGACATGAACAATAGTGTGGATTCAGACACGTGTCACTGTCATCACTTTTAAGAAACTCTGAAATGATAAGATCTTACAAGGACAGGGCAGAATGGAGGAAAGAGAGAGACAGGAGGAAAGTACTCAGGGACACGGACAACAATGTGGGGCGTGCGGAAAGAGGGCATAGAGGGGATACATGGTGATGGGGAAAGTAAAATAAAATAAAATAAAAAATGAAATAGAATGAGATAAGTGATAAAAAAAAAAAAAAGAAAAAAGTCCCAGGTACATTAACCTGTTGGATTAAAAAGTTACTTTAAAACACTCCATTTGCAAAGCTTGATGGTTCCAGACACGGCGTTCAGGATTCTGAACTGGGGGACACATGTCCTCTACCCTCAGGCATCTCTTAGTCCAAGACACACTGTGAAAAACTGAAACGCTAGAAAAGTGCACCTGTGCCCACACACTCAGAGGCGTCTACGGCCTCGGGGAGCCTGGTTCGCACGGAGCCTCCCGCTCGGTCCCATGAGAAACCGGCCTGCGCATCAGGATTGCGGCCTGCGGGCGGTGACCCAGGAGTTGCGCTGCGGGGAAGCCGCGTGCAGCCTCCGAGCGGGGCCCGGCGCATGGAAGGCGTGGCGGGGAAACCTGCAACTCACAGCAGAACACGGGGTTCCCGTGAGGGTGGGGAGAGCGGGTGCAGGAGAGACGCCCCCTCCGTCCTGCGGATCCCACGGCTCTGAAGCGCCTGCCGACCTCAGGCCTGCTGTTCGCCTGGGCACTGAACCTGCTCTTTCCTCCCTCCCGCACTCCCTCCCTTTCTCACTGCGCTAAAACCATATAACATTTACCATCCTAACCATTTTTAAGGTTAAATTCAGTGGCATTGAGCTCCTTGTCCTTGTTGGGCAGCCATCACCGCCATCATCTCCAGAACTTCATCTTCCCAAGCTGAGACTCCCCCCCAGCCCCTGGCTCCTACCCCTCTACTTTCTGCCCCTGTAAGTCTGACTACTGTAGGCACCTCATGTAAGTGGAACTGTACAGTGTTTTCCATTTATTTCTGGCTTATTCTGTCAGCATGTCCTCAAGGTTCATCCACGCTGTGGCAGGTGGCAGGGTGTCCCGTCCAAAGGGTGAATGACAGCCTTCTACGGGCCGCACTTTGTATCCATCCTCTTGCTGATGGACACTTGGGTTGTCCCCACATTTTGGCTCTGAGTCTTGCTTTTGGTCCATTGTTGGAACTTGGATGAGAAATTCAGGATGTGCCCAAACTTGTATTTCTTTTTTAGCCCTCACCTGCCCGAGCTTATTTTTTCCATTGACTTTTAGAGACGGTGGAAGGGAAGGGGGGAGTGGAAGGGAGAGAGAGAAACATCAATGTGAGAGAGACACATCAATCGGCTGCCTTCTACAAGTGCCCCAACCGGGGCCGGGGGATCAAACCTGCAACTGAGGTATGTGCCCTTGACCGAGAATTGAACCTGAGACCCTTTGGTGCCCAGGCCAATGTTCTAACCACTGGGCTACACTGGCCAGGGCCAAATTTGGATTTTTTATTTTGATCGCTTATGTGTTTCTAATCCACCTGAACTGAGGGCACTGCAGTCAAATCAGGTTATCCTGAAAACAGAATGGAGATTCCTCAAAAAATTAAAAATAGAGCCACTATATGATGCGGAATTCCACTTCTGGGTATAGAGCCAAAGGAAACGAAGACAGGATGCGGAAGAGACGTCCACACCCTGTGTTTGCTGCCGCGTCCTTCACAGAAGCCAAGACAGGGAAACCGCCTGGTCCGTCAGCGAATGAATGGGCACAGAGGATGTGAGAATACATATAAAAACGGAATGTCATTCAACCATGAGAAAAAGGGAAATCCTGGCGTTTGTGACAATATGGATGGACTTTGAGGGCATTATGCTAAGTGAAATAAGCCAGACAGAAAAAGACGGATACTGAATGGTATCACTAATATGTATAGTCTTAAATTAAAGAGTCAAACTCATAGGAACAGAGAGTAGAAAACAGGTCGCCAGGGGCTGGGGTGGGGAGCAGGGAGAGGCTGGCGAAGGGTACAGGCATTCAGCTATGAGATGAACAAGGTCTGAGCATCTGACTATGCCCAATAACACCACGTTGCAGAATTAAAATCTGCAGAGAGAGTAGGACTTAAGTGTTCCCCCCAAAAAGAGGAAAGGTAAGGATGTGAGGTGATGGATATGTTAACCGGATGGGGAGCCTCCTTTCACAGTATATACATATATCAAATCACCACGATGGGTGCTTTAAATAGACTATCATTTTATGTTAATTATACCTTGATAAAGCTGAAATTTTAAAAATCTGTCTATTTGAGGTGCAGGGTCTCAGTGTCTCCGTTGTTTCTGGTCGTGGACTTGCTGAGTTGGACGAGGTCTTGGGGACCAGATGCGCAGCCCCGGAGCCCCTCCCACCTTCCAGGGCCAGGAGTCCTGGCCTTGGGGAGGCCACTACCACATGATGACTCGTGTCCCATCGCTGCACAGGGTCAACCCTTAGGAAGCAACTTGGAGTTTGAGGAGACCGACAAATCTTGAAGGCAGGGGCCAGTTATCTTACTCGAATGGGCGCATTAAAGAGAAAAAATAAACAGGAGAAAATACTGGCAACTAATGAATGAAACGATTGAGGGCGGGTAGGGCTTCTTCCAGGGCAAGGTCAAAACAGGTGAAGGTGTGGGGAGAAAATGAGAGACCTGAAAACGTAAAAAATGTCTACATGACAGAAAAGCAAAGCAAAGAAATTAAGTTTGAAAGACGACAGCTCTACCCTGGAGAGTGAGCCAGGCTCTGGGCTGCCATGGCCTTGGGACTCAAGGACCCCTTGGCAGTCCAGGCTCAGCACTGTGGTGGCCTTCCTCGGCCAGGAAATGGCCACGCGCCACAGGCCCTGAGACTATGTCCTGCTCCTGGGCGGAGGGGCAGGACAAGCTCGGGGCCACCCTGGAGAACAGAGCAGTGACTGTGCCGAAGCGGTTGTGCCCCAGGGTGGCCTGATCTGGGCGTGAGGCTGTGCCCGCAGCAGGGCTAGTCACAGGCCTGCAGGGTGCACTGGCTACACGACTTAGCCCAGTTGCACAATGGGCCTCGGACAGGAAAGAACTCAGAGCGCGAGGAGGTGGCCTAGGCGGAGGCTGCCCCTGGCCACGGATCAGAAAGAGAAGGCACCCCAGCCAGTTTGGCTCAGTGGTTACAACATCCGCCCAAGGACTGAAGGGTCCCGGGTTTGATTCCAGCCAAGGGGGCACATACCTCAGTTGCAGGCTTGGCCCTGGTCCTGGTTGGGGCGTGTGCAGGAGGCAACCAATCGATGTCTCCCTCTCTCCTTCCCTCTCTCCCTCCCTCTCTCTCCCCCCCCCCACTCTCTCTGAAAAAGCAATGGGAAAAGTACCCTCAGGTGAGGAATAAAAAAAAAGAGAGAGAAGCAGGTGCTGGGTGGAAGCTCCTCTGGGTGAGAGTCTTCCTGGGAGTGGCTGAGGGTTACAGAGGAGCCAGCCTGCTGCCACCCGTGAGTGGGAAAGCACACTGGTGTGGGAAAGTAGATGCATGTGCCACTACTTGCCTTCAGAGGACAGTGGGAGGACATGCCATGCAGCCCAGAGGAGCCCAGAGTTGACCCTGTGTCCCCACAGATAAGAGAGTGGTGGCCGAGCACTCTCCCACTTCCTGTAATTGTGCTGCATAAAAATCCACTCTACCCAGATCCTGGTTCATAGGCTAACTATATGAGTGGGCTCCTGTCCTGGGGAAACAGATCACTTCCAAGTCAGAACTTGGCACGAGAAGGGCAAGTTGCAAACCACAGACCGCCAAAGAAAGTGCTGGAGTTGGCTGGGGAGGTGCCTCAGGGAGGCAGGGGCAGTCAGCCTCCTGCACAGTCTCCAGTGGTGAACCGGACAAGAAGCTGGTTCATGTTCCCTTGGGCTTGTTTATATCTTTCTAGGGCAGGGCTTCCCCACCTTGGCACCCTGGGCTCTTGGGGTTGGATAATTGTATGCTACAGGGGACTGCCTGGACACTGTAGGATGTTTGGCAGAATCCCTGGCCTCTGCCCAGATGCCAGTAGCACATCCCCTGAGTTGTGACAACCAGAAATGTCTCCAGATACTGCCACATGTCCACTGGGGGGTAAAATCATCCCTCGCTGGAACCATGGAGGCAATGAGATACCTGGGAGTAGTCAGAATGGGGTGAAGAGAGTTGTAGGGGAGCATGCTCAGCAGTGCCCAGGGCTGCAGGGGACCCTGAGGTGAAAAGTATCCATTGGGTCTGGAAATCACCTTTGATCTTTGAGCAAATTTGGGTGGGAGGGCCAGGGCCAAACCAACAGTACTGAGGAGAGAGGGGCAGGAAGTGGGGAAGCGCAGCCAGTGAAGAGGGCTCCTCTTCACGGACTCCTGGCTG